CAACTCTGTCCTTCCAGGCGCTCAGATTCATAATTGACTCTCTCATATTTCACATCAATTCTTGCTGGCTCAACCTTCAAGATCTATCTAGAATCCAATCATTTCTCTACTGCTACTAACCTGGTCTGGTCATCATTGCTTCTCACCTGGATTACTGCAAAGCCCTGATGTGGTTTCCCATGCCCCTCAAATAAAAGCCCTGAGCCCTTACGATACTCTGCTAAGCACTACGTGATCTAGACTCCTGCTCCCACTATCTCTCTCGGGTCATTTCCTCCCTCTCTTACCCTTTCTCACCCTGTTCCAATCACTCCAGCACTTATAACTTTTTGATACACTATATATAATCGGTTTAGTATTTCAGAAGGTAACATGTATGCCAGTGCTATGGAAAAAAAAAATTAGGGGACTGAGAAGCAGCAGGGATGGGGAAGGCAGAATAGGTCAAGGACTCCATGAAAAGATGCCATTTAGGCTGAGTGTGGCAGCTGGTGCCTGTTATCCCAGCACTTTGGGAGGCTGAGGCAGGTGGATCATCTGAGGTCAGGAGTTTGAGACCAGCCTGGCCAACATGGTGAAACCCCATCTCTACTAAAAATACAAAAAATTAGCCAGGCATGGTGGCGTTTGCCTGTAATCCCAACTACTCGGGAGGCCGAGGCAGGAGAATCACTTGAACCTGGGAGGCGGAGGTTGCAGTGAGCTGAGATCGTGCCACTGCACTCCAGCCTGGGCGACAGCATGAGACTTCATCTCAAAAAAAAAAAAAAAAAAAAAAAGAGACATTTGAGGGAGGTAAGGCAGTTAGTCATGTGGATATATCTGAGGAAAACAGGAATCTTTGTCCCTTGGAGGCAATGATGAAACTCAAAGATTCTGCACAGTGCCTGGCACTTAATAAGTAAATACTCAGCAAATATTTAATGAATAAATAAATTAATTTTCTCTGTCATAAGTTCTCATGTTGCTTAAAATTTCCCTGTTTTTAATAATATTATTTGTTATTCATTTGTTTTTTGAGATATTTATCTAGAATCTCAATTTTAGGCAGCATTGACTAGTTTTTTTGTTGGAGGTGACAAAAGAATGCAGTGTTCCTATAACACCAGGAACTCTGATATTTTTAAAAATCTATGGGACAAGTTTGAAAGAAAACTTGATTCTACCCTAGACTCTTGTTTCAATCCTAGAGTCTAAACCATACCTGTTTGGATGTGAATCAAGAATGAAACCGGAAGGACATAATTCTGAAAGTTCATATAACAATCACCCATGACTTTATAAATGCACTGTTTGGTGAGTGCTAATGAACTTGAAATTAGGTCACTGAATCCTTTAAGATGGCATTAAGTTAAATTTCTATGCGTGAATTGTTTTCACACACAAAACTCAGTCACTTATCCAATAAATCAACACCAACTTCTCAGGCGCTCATATGGGGAAGCTGTGTAAATACTGTTTAGGAATACAGATATGGAATCACACAAGCATGTTGAAACATAGGAAGTGATCACTCTGCCAATCTCTATATCCAATGTTTATGTTCATTTCAATATCTGATTGTATTTTATTCAATTAATCTTTTCAATACATTGGAAAAAAAGAGAGAAAACACAAGCAAAAAGCAAAGACTGAAACAAGATGGTCTCTCATACCTATTCCTAACTCCAATATCAAAAATACATTAGAATCAGCATAATTCATGCCCAGTGTTCCTTTTTTACCTCATTTGTTTGGTCCAAAGGAGAAGGGCTGAAACCTCCGGCTGACTGCAGTTCTGAGATCCCAAAGTTATCCTTGCTAGACATACCCAAGGAAACATGAGGTCTGGTGGTGCCAGAGGGTTCATATTAGCTTCTTCCAGTGGAGTGCTGGAACTGACTCACAAGAGCTGACTGGTAGATTTTCAAGAATTTTTGAGGGATGATTGATGTCACACTGATAGTCTGAATTCCATGGTGGACGTATTTATACCATTGAAATTGGCAATTGCTATAAATTAGGCCCCCTATTCCCACTTATAAAAATACAGCTGTCTAACAGGTTACCAGTATACTACTGGTTGAGTCTCTTCTTCAACAGACCTTGTTCTGTCAACAGGGTTTTCCAAATTTCCATTTTTCAGTTCGGACTTTCTGTCTGAAGCATTTTAATTTTTTTTTTCTTTTTTGAGACAGGGTCTCACTCTGTCACCCAGGCTGGAATGATGTAGCGTGATCACGGCTCACTGCAGCCTCCGCCTCCCAGGCTCAAGTGATTCTCCCATCTTGGCCTCCCCTGGCCAGTACCTGGGACTACAGGTGTGTACCACTATGCCCGGCTAATTTTAATTTTTTTTTTTTTTTTTGTAGAGATGGGGTCTCACTACGTTGTCGAGGTTGGTCTAGAACTCCTGGCCTGAAGTAATCCCCCCACCTTGGCCTCCAAAAGTGCTGGGATTACAAGTGTCAGCCACTGCACCAAGCCTATTTTAACTTTCTATAGTGAATCACTATAGGTATAAATCATTTTAATCAAGTCTTGGGTTTTTTTTTTTTTTTTTTTGTATATGGGCAAACTATTTACAAGCATAAATACCTTACTAGGTTTTGGTTTAACACTTATTTATACAACTCCACTCATAACTACATGACATGATTGATAATAGTTAATTATCTGTCCTTCCCATTTCATGGACAACTGCATGGTCTTTAATACTGATATAATTTAGCGTTTGGAAGCTTCAGCTTCATCATTCATAAAACTAGGATAACAGTAGTATATACTGCTCATTTCTTTGCTGGGAGTATTAAAAGAAATACATGTAAAGAACTTAGCACAGTGCTTGGCACATGGTAATATCTCAGTAAACGTTAGTGATTGTGTAGTAATAGTAATAGTAATAGTAGTACTTTGTGCTGTGGGGTAGACATACAGAAAAGGGTGAGATGTGGTGCTTTGCTGAATATATGTTTTGGCCAATCCTTCTATAGCTTAGGAACATTAATTAAGCATTTGCTATTTGGTGGCTTAGATATTGGCAGTTCCTGTACAAGCTAATCCCTTTGCTAGTAGAAAGATTGAGAAATTATCAATTGAGAAATTCTTCACACTCTCAGAATCACATTGGGTATTTCATAGATCAGGCAGACCAAGTTGATATTTTGGAATTGTAAGACTGAAAAAGATTGGCTATTTCTTATCTTCTTATCTGTCCTCAAATTTCCAAAAGTGGTGTTTCTTCATTGCCCATCTCCCTCTACAGTGATGATCATGATTTATGAGAAAATAGAAGCAGGCCAGTTGGGACCTTCGTCTTTTCCTTCCACTGAATATACCACCGTACACTTATCTGTACCTGCATTTTTTTTGCCTTTATCCTGTTACTGCAGATGACATGTCCAGGCTCCTAACTGAGGGATCAAATCCTCTTTGACCTCAAAGACTTAACTTCTACAGATGTCCCCCTTCTCTGTTTCATTAGTCCTTTCCCCTCTACTGGATCATTCTCCTCCCAGCCTACAAAAAATGTTTTAGTTTCTCCCACCTTAAACTAAAAAACTTTCCACTGATATCTTGTCATTGTCCAGCTGCTATCCCTATTTCTCTGCTCTCCTTCAGAACACCCTATCACCTCCCATTGTCTCTCCAGTCTACTTTCGTTAGCTTCTGTCCCCAAAAGTGATGGAAATTGTTTGGTAAAGGCTATTAATAACACCCTTTGCTGCGAAACCCAGTGGTTGCTCCTCTGTCTCTGTGCTTCTCCATCTTTCAGTGGTATATGGTAGAATTGACCTTTGAAAAACCACCCTCTCCTGGCTGCTGTGTCACATTCTCTAGTTTCTGCCTATTCTCTAGCCATTTCCTCTCAGTCTTCTTTGCTGGTACCTTTTTTCTCTGTTTGATTTCTTTTTTCTTTTTTTTGAGATGAAGTCTTGCTCTGTCGCCTAGGCTGGAATGCAGTGGCGCAACCCTCCCTCAGCCTCCCGAGTAGCTGGGATTACAGGTGCCTGCCACCATGCCCAGCTAATTTTTGTATTTTTAGTAGAGATGGGGTTTCAAACTCCTAACCCCAGGTGATCCACCCGCCTTTGCCTTCCAAAGTGCTGGGATTACAGGCGTGAGCCACCGCACCCAGTCTTCTGTTTGATTTCTAAAGGTTGCAGTATCCACATCTAGGCCCTTGGCCCTCTTCTTCCATGACAGATTTTATCTGGCCTCATGGCTTTAAATTACACTTGTCTGGCCATAACTTCCAAATTAATGAATTTCATTCTTGCTATTTAGGCCTCCTACTTAATATATCCTCATTTGGATGCTCAATGGGTGACTTAAACCAATATAACTGAAACAGAACTCTTGACTTTCCCTTGGAAACATAGCTCCCATAGTCATCCCCATTCAGTAAGCAGCACCATCTACCTACCTAGATTCTTAATGTCTTACTCCCTGCATCCAGTCTACCAGCGAGGCAGCTCTATTTCTAGACTGTATCCCAGTCCTGCTCATGCCTTCCTGCTTTCCCCTTTGGTCTTTTATGATCAGTTATCTCCCTAGCAGCAGAAAGATCTTTTTAGTATATAAATAAGATCACATCATCCCCTACTTAGTTAGCTTCCTATCAGGACACAATTCGAAATCCTTCGTTGGTCCACCAGGCCCTCTTTGTGCTGGCCCCAGCCTGTCTCTCCAACTTTCTCTTGCCCATATTCTTCTCCCACTATACTCCAGCCACACTGGCCTTCAGTATGCTCCTGCAACAAGCCAAGCCATACCGCACTGCTTAGGGCCGTTGCATTGGCTGTCTTCTTTGCCTGGAGTGTTCTGCCTCCACATCTATGCTTGACAGGCTCCTTTCTGTAATTCAGACCTTAGTTCAAAGTCACTTCTCCAGAAAGACTTTCCTCAACTACCCAATCTACAATCATTCTCCCCACCCCTGCCTCCCACTTCGTTCTCTAGTACATTATCCTTTTTATTTTCCTCATATACCATTCTCTGAATTGATCTTGGTCACTTACTTATTTGTTTGTTTACTTGTTCCCTGCTGATTCCTCAGTATCATCTCACACGTCATCTGATAACCAACACTTGCTGGAGGAATGAACACTCTGGACACCCAACAAAGATATTTCTTATAGTTGAGGGGGTTGTCTATTCCATTGCTCACAGTCCTGTAAGTAAAGGCACACTCATATGAGAAATTTATTGCAGAATGTAGCAGCAGGAAAGCATTATCTCTGTTGAGAATTTTCAGTGCCTTTTCCTTTTCTGGTTTTAAAGCTGTCACTGTTAGTTTCTACTTTTTGTTTTGCCTTGGCTATTGGGAAGCTGAAAGCCAAATTTCAAACTCGAGGATGAGTATCACGCTCTCGCCAATAGTGAACATAAGTTCTTCCTTCCTGAGGTTGATTTCCTCCCTTTGTTGTCAGGAAGTATGGTAATGAAATTTGTTACAAGTTGCCTCAATTTCTTTCTGGATGGAAGTGTGATTTAAACAAAAGCATTCAAAGTGTTAACATTCTGGCATAGACTGCACAGCTACCTGTCAAGGAATGTTGACTTGGAGTCATGTAGTATTGAATGGGAGCTCTCTGGCTGCAAGAGTTTATGAACATCCTTTATTGTTGCTAGGTGATTTGCTGTGATTCATATTTGGGAATTCCCCAAGGTAGTTTTAGTTGGGGTTTGACTTGCCTAATAAGAGCTCAATCCTCTGGGTGTTAGGGGTTTTAGGCTTTTTTGTATTTGTTGACTTGATGAGTGTCACTTCAGAGTTATGAACCAAAAAGTTCATGGATCTTGAGAGTTTATTGTTCTCTTAGAGATCAATGTCTCAGTAGTAGAAGAAATACGCCTTTTAGTTTAGCCTTAAAATGGGATGTCTTGATCTCAAGTAAATTCATGGACTACACCCTTCTAAGGTTCAAAGGAACTGTTCTTAATTATTGTTTAGGTCCAGGGAGGGTTTTGAAGTTTATGGAGCATAAAACATGCTTCTCCCTAGCCTGGCAAAATTAAAATGTAGCTCTTTTGAAGTTCAGTATGTGTTGGTATTTTAATTTATTGGCTACTTTAAATATTTTGTTTGTGGCAACAACATTCATAAAACAGCAAGAGGGAAAGCATACACTGATTCATTATTATCAAATATTTTTGATATTTGTACTAAATAGATGATGTAAAGAATATATCTATCTGGTTAATCCATGAAGGCATAGAGTGGACAAATCTCTTTGAATAAAATATGCTATTAAAATAGTCTTGATGGCCTAAATGCAATGTGGAATAATGCTACTGTATATCAGAATTGTATCTTAATTTAAACATTTCTCCCAAATAAATGTTGTAGTTAAGTATTACTTAACAATTGGATACAAAATTATATTTTAATTTTTAATGAAAACAAACATTGATTCAAGTAGTTTTGAAGAAGGAGCCTGCAGAAAATACTTTTCACAAACTATTTCCTTCCAGAAACGGAAGGGAATGGGTCTTTTGGTAATCAAATGTTAAAAAAGTCAATCAATCAATCATGTATTATATCATGCAGTAAGTAATTTTTTAAATTAACCTTTTAAAATCCACACTTCTTTTCTTTCTTTCTTTTTTTATTTTTGAGAGGGAGTCTTGATGTGTCGCCCAGGCTGGAGTGGAATGGTGCAATCTCCGCTCACTGCAACCTCTGCCTCCCCTCCCAGGTTCAAGCAATTCTCCTGCCTCAGCCTCCCGAGCAGCTGGGATTACAGGCGCCCACCACCATGCCCGGCCAATTTTTGTATTTTTAGTAAAGGTGGGGTTTCACCACATTAGCCAGGCTGGTCTTGAACTCCTGATCTCAAATGATCTGCCTGACTTGGCCTCCCAAAATGCTGGGATTACAGACGTGACTGTGCCTGGCCTAAGACACACATTTTATCTACACTTATATGGGTTCCTTTTTAATGTAAAAATCGGGATTTACTTAAAGATATATTAATTTCTAAGGATATTTGATGAAAGAATTCCAAATAGTACATTTAAAGCATATGAACACTAGTGATAATTTTATATGATATAAAATATAATAAAATACATTTATATATAACTTTATTAGAACATTTGTATATCCAGATTTTATCTATGACCTTCCCTTTCCCTTTCCCATAACTGAAACCAATACAGTCAATAGCAATTTCAATTTAAATGACTGTAAAGTCATTGTTCATCATCCACCATAAAGCTTGGGTCATCTCCCAAGTACATTTTAAAGTGAGATTTATCGGCTGGGCGCGGTGGCTCAAGCCTGTAATCCCAGCACTTTGGGAGGCCGAGATGGGCGGATCACGAGGTCAGGAGATCGAGACCATCCTGGCTAAGACGGTAAAACCCCGTCTCTACTAAAAATACAAAAAAAAATTAGCCGGGCAAGGTGGCGGGCGCCTGTAATCCCAGCTACTCCAGAGGCTGAGGCAGGAGGATGGCGTGAACCTGGGAGGCAGAGCTTGCAGTGAGCTGAGATCTGGCCACTGCACTCCAGCCTGGGCAACAGAGTGAGACTCCGTCTCAAAAAAAAAAATAAAATAAAAATAAAAAAAATAAAGTGAGATTTATCTTAACTTATTCTGTCTGCTGTGTTCTTTTGTTAGGATGAGTAGCAAAGGTTGTCATGGAGTAACTGGTGGTATTGAACCAGCATGTAATTTACTAGTAATTGATAATTCAGTTAAGAGTATTTACCGAACACCTCACCAGAATTTTAAAAGTCTCCTTGGAGATCTGGAGGGGAAAAAATACAAGCAGGACAAGTAAAACCATCATTTAAAATCTATAGAGATAGCCTTTATCTGCCATATTTTAAATTTAAAAGCAAGAAACTTTTCTATCCAACTTATTTGACAGTGCTGAAGTTTTGAAAGTTTTTCGGCTCATTGCACATATCTTGGTATCCTGGCCAAGATAAGAAAACTCCAAGGTCCGGGAAAGTTTACTGTGGGGTAAGATGGTTACTGATCCCAGACCCAAATTCCTGGTGTTCATCTGGGCTCCAGGCTGAGTAGCCTGTTTTAAAAGAGGCAATCAAGAGGTTTTTTTTTTTTTTTTTTTTTTGCCTTTCAACCCTAAGCACTCAGGGCCATCAGTCTTACCATTAAAGTGAAGCTAAGGGTACTTCTGGATTGTGTGTAATCAAGACTTGATGTTAAACCTAAATCCAGAGAAATCACAGTGGTTATCTCAACTGCTTTTAGGTATGAGGTCAATTATGCTGGGGAAGTCTAGTATGGAAACTAATGGCACACTCGGTGTGTCATAAGTGAATGACAGTCCATAAATGCCAGGGAAGACAGAGAGAGGTAGAAAGCAGCCTTCTTTGGAAGATAAGTGGTAAACTCAAGATTGCTAAACATATATAGCTAAATGCATAACAATCCTCAACAGGAGAGACGAAAGAAGTTGCTTCTGTAAGAAGGAATTGATATCCCTTGAAGTTTTAGTGCTGAGTAACTATGAAAACTTACATGAGGGTCTATGGTTATATGCAGCAGATACTATCTTCTTTCCCCCTTTTCTTCTTCTCATTCTAGTTTTCTAAGATGCAGCCTTTGGCGAGTTAACTAAAAATACAGATTGTTTTAAAGTTAGTGCCAAAGATGACCTATGTATTTTATTTTTAAAGCTCGTTTATGCAATGTTTTAGTTTTCAATGTGGCAAGAGAAGAGGGTGTGAGAACTGCGTCAAGTCTCTCATTTCCTGGGCTGCCTATGACTTCTGGGTAGAGGTGCCCTTCCTCATGACTCTGTGGCCACACGTGGTTCTGCCAACCATTCGCTTTGGCATCTGAGCTGGGAGAGAATGACTGATGTCATGGGCCCCTTCATGGAATTATTCACTGGCTTTGTTCACTGGGTCCTCGGGGCTACTAGGAGCAGCAAGAAGTTCTGAAAATGAAGAGAGAAGTCATTGGATATAGAATTCATAACTAAAGCTTGTCTGGAAGGAGATCTTTATGTTTGAAAAGGACTCATTTTATGTGTAAATTTTAGACTTTGTATGTCAATTCTTTTTTTCTTTTTTTTTTTTTTTGAGATAAAGTTTTGCTCTGTCACCCAGGCTGGAGTGTAGTGCTGTTATCCTGGCTCACTGCAACCTCTGCCTCCTGGGTTCAAGCGATTCTCCTGCCTTAGCCTCTCCGGTAGCTGGGATTACAGGCTCCCACCACCACACCCAGCTAATTTTTGTATTTTAGTAGGGATGGGGTTTTGCCATGTTCACCAGGCTGGTCTTGAACTCCTGACCTCAAGTGATCTGCCCACTTCGGCCTCCCAAAGTGTTGGAATTACAGGCGTGAGCCACCATGCCCTGCCTGTGTGTGGAATCTTTTTTCTTTTTGGTGTTTTTTTTTTTTTTTTTTTTTTGAGATGGAGCCTTGCTCTGTCACCCAGGCTGGAGTGCAGTGGTACAATCTCAGCTCACTGCAAGCTCCGCCTCCTGGGTTCATGCCATTCTCCTGCCTCAGCCTCCTGAGTAGCTGGGACTACAGGCGCCCGCCACCACGGCTGACTAATTTTTTGTATTTTTGGTAGAGACGGGATTTCACCATGTTGGCCAGGATGGTCTTGATCTCCTGACCCCGTGATCTGCCCACCTCGGCTTCCCAAAGTACAGGGATTACAGGCGTGAGCCACCGCACCAGGCCCTGTGTGTGGATTCTTTATTCTTTTTCTGAGAAATCATATTTGTCATCGTTTTTGCTGTTATCATCATCTGAGTTATCAGTGAGCATCTGTCAACTGTGTTCTCTTCCCTGTTTTGGCAGGCCCCCTGGGTATCTTCTGCCTGTCTGGTACTACTTCTCACCTGTTAGTATTCATTGAATGGATACTTAACCTTAGATGGCCTCCCTTCAGGCAAACTTATCTGTTGATCTTTTCCTTCCCTAAATACCATCTGCAGTCCTACTACACCATTCAGCAAGGGATTGTCCAGTTAAGCTGTATGTGTTAGCATACAGTTTACACGTTTGTTCTCTAATCCAGAACACAACTTCCTCGACAGCAGGGATCAAAAAAATAGGGGTGGTAAGCAGATTAACTTGCTCCATTTGTATCATTTGAGATTACCATGTGTATATATAATCTATTAAAGTAATTTTAAAAAATGCATTACCCTTTCTGGTATATATTGTAAATAAATAAATATTGGAAAAAATAAGAAGTGAAATAAAAAAAGTATTTTATTTAGGCTCAATATGATAACAAACAAAAGTTCACCTAGGTTTGATAAGTGCCCTTTGCTCCGAAGGGAAGATAAAAATAAATAATAGTGACAAGAGTTAACAAAGTAAAACCCAACCTGTCTGGTTGAATGCGAATAGTAGTGGCTTTACTTCATATAGGCAGCTTCCAGATCAACGTAAAAAAGCTTTACTGAATATTCAGACCAGTGCTATTTACTTAGCTGCTCTCAAATGGGAATAAGCAGACATCAGCTATCAAGTTTCTAGGCTGGAAAAATCCATAAAGGCCATTGGACACAGACACCATGGGGACATCATCCAGACAGTTCATAAAAATAACTTGCCCAACATTTTTGGAACCTGATGCAAGCTATACTTGTGGTTCTGTCTGTTTCCTTTGCTTTATCCAGTAACAACAGAAAAGGAGGCCGGTCACCAGGACTATGATAACTTGGATGTTACAGGAGACAACCAGTACAGGAGACATGCAATACAACTGCAATTAATAACTCAACAGCCAATTACTGAGACAGTGCTCATGTAAGCAATTAACACATAACATTCAGTCAGAGGACTAGATGGTAAATGGGTGCTTATCTTAAGTCCAGAGCAAAGGAGTTGATTGAGACACAAATATTTGAGCAGGACCACAGCCTCAGATCATTCCATCTGTGTTCACAATAGGGGGAATCCCAATCCTGTGTCACATAAATACAAAGAACAAACAACCGTAATTTGCTATAGTAGTCAATAAGAGTGGGTCAATTCATTCAGAAATATTTATTAAACACCTGTAACATGCTAAGCATTCTAGGGAATTCAAATATATGTCAGTTATTCCCTAAATTTTTTTTTTTTTTTTTTTTTGAGATGGAGTCTTGCTGTGTCACCTAGGCTGGAGTGCAGTGGAGAGATCTCACAGCAAGTTCTGCCTCCCAGGTTCACGCCATTCTCCTGCCTCAGCCTCCTGAGCAGCTGGGACTACAGGCGCCCGCCACCTCGCCTGGCTGGTTTTTTGTATTTTTTAGTAGAGACGGGGTTTCACCCGGTTAGCCAGGATGGTCTCCCTCTATTGACCTCGTGATCCGCCCACGTCGGCCTCCCAAAGTGCTGGGATTACAGGCTTGAGCCACTACGCCCGGCCAGTTATTCCCTAATTTTAAGTAAATTGAAGTCCAGTAGTGAAATAAGGTTTGCTCAGCACATATGTGTTAGTATCGTATGAGAGGTATAATTGCTGTAACTATTTGGAGGATGGAGAGATCACTTCCAGTTACTTGATCAGGGAAGGTTCTATAGCGAGGAGGGCACTTGGAAGGGGCATACACTTAAAAACAAACTTTTTGTTAAAGCATAACACACACATAAAAGAGTATATATTGTATACAGTACAGGCTCACTGAATTTTCACAATCTGAAAACACTACATATGTAACCAGCACCCAGAGAGAATAGTACAGTATTCCAGAAGCCCCCCATGTCCCCTGCCAATCACTCTTGGGGGAGTAGGATTTTCTGAGATGAATGTAGACAGAGAGATTATTGGAGGAAGGATCAGTATGCATAAAGATGTGGAAATTGAAAGCCATGACCCATGTTTGGAGAATGGGCTGAAGAGTAATTTGCTTGCAATGTTGGCTAGAGAACAGGGTCGCGTCCACGTTATACAGCTTTACATGCCAAGTAGAGGAGTTAGATTTTATCTGTTAGCTGCTGAAGGCTTTTGAGCAAGAGGATTATTTTTGTAAGACTTTTTGATGATGGCTGATAATTTACTGGTGATGGGACAATTGAGAGACTAAGGTTGGGAGACTGGCTGGGAACTTCTGTAATAATAGTCCGGGTATGAGATAATTTTGGCTCTGCAGTGGCAGTGAGAACACAGTAACTGACCATACACAGACACTTTAAAGATAACTTTAAACAAGAACTAAATGACTGGAGATCTAGAGGAAGAGGGAGGAGTCAAAGAAAATTTTCTTCCAACGATCTAATCAAGATAAAATTTAGTAATTTTTTTGGGGGGTAGTTAGTTGTTATTTACTTGTTGTATAGGGTTAACACCTTCTTTGAATGCTGTCTCTCCAAGAAATTCTGAAAACTTTCTTACAGTATTTGAAGAAAACCTTGAGTTACTATAAAGAAACTCTAAAGAAAGCAACTGACCTTTCAGACAAAAAGGGTCCTTTGTTAATCAGGAAATGTGGACTGTTTGTCTTTTCAAATGGATGCATGCGACAATAAACGTTTCGCTGGGGGGAAAAATGACTCCAAAGAAGACTTTTGAAGATGTCACACGAACAGCAAATTACTGGGTGCTGAACACCTTCCTGTTTCTTCAACCTCTTAAATAATTTTTATTAACCCAGATTTCTAGGTAGGATGATTTTTAACTTCATCTTATACGTTTACGTGTAACGTGTTTCTACAGAAAACAAAAAACCTTTTTGAAGAAAAAAGGGCGTAACTTTTTTTGACAACTTACATTACTGGCTATGGGAGTAATTTTTAATTGATGGCACCTCTTCTACCTCCCGCCCCGCCCCCATTCCATCCCTTTGCTTCCAATACGGCGGGTTCCTCACTCAACACATAATAGAGCACGTAACTGGTACTGTAACTTATAACGTCTTTCAAGGTCTTTCTTAACTGTACGTTTTTCTGCACAATCAGCACCTTATTTCTTAGAGACTGTTCATTTCTGGAATTTTTGATGCATGTGGTGGTTTCCAGGCACCAGGATTTGGTAGTAAAACAGGAGACTGAAGAGAAGTTGCTCCCGAAAGCTGTTCTGTGTGCAGGTAACCAAGAATCAGAAATTTCTGAGACCAGAGGAAGGGAAGGAACGTTACTTGGTATACAGCGCGTGGGTGCAGAGGAGGGGAGTCCGGGAAGATGAGAGGTGCCAAAGGCGAGACCCCGTGCGCTCTCCAGATCTTAAGCTCCAGGTGGGCGGGCGCCGGTGGCCTGAAGCCCGGCCTGCGCGCCTCTCCACACCTCTGACCACCCACCTCCTCCGCCCCTTCCCGGGCTAAAGTTCCCAAACTTTTCCTCCAGCGGGGAGAGGAAGGGTGTTACTCAGTTTAAAAGGGAAGTCCCGCCCCATTCCCGGATTCCGATTGGTCTTGATTTGCCACGCCCCCGCCAGGGCAGCGGGTCGATTGGCTACGGGAGGGGAGCCCCGCCTCAGGCCCGTTGCCGTCGGCTGCCTAGGACCCCAGGTGGCAGGCAGGTGGGGCTGGTGCAGCCCTCGCCGCGTCTGCTGCAGCTGCCGCCGTCAACTTCTTGGGCGCTGGCACCCCCGCAACCTTTAAGGTTCGCACGCGGGCCAGGCGCGCCGAGCCCGTGGCGCGCGGGACTGGCGAGAGTTAGCCATGAAGAGCCTCAAGTCCCGCCTGAGGAGGCAGGACGTGCCCGGCCCCGCGTCGTCTGGCGCCGCGGCCGCCGCCGCCAGCGCGGTGAGTCCCGCGGCCCGGGCTGCCTGGCGCTCCGCTCCGGGAGCAGCCCTCCTTTGCTGGCGAGCTCGCGCGCCGCCTTCCTCTGCTTTTCCTCTGCCAATTCGGCTTCGGCGGCCCTGGCGACTCCTCTCTCAGGCCAGAGACTCAATCAGCCCAGAGACCCTGGGGACCCTCCCCGTCCCCGCACCCGAGCCTCTACGGGTCTCTTCCCCACCCCTTTCCCCCAAGCCTCCGAACTTCTGGAAGAAACCTCAGTGCTGCGGTTATGGCCCCCTCCTCCTAAATCCAGCGTTCCTCGATTGGCCCCCCTACTCCGCTCTTTCCGTTGACCCCCCTCATCGCTCTCCTTTCCCGGCGCTCGTCCCGCTCCCCACGCCTGCTCGGCCGTGTTGGCTCCCCCGTCCCCAGGGCCGGGGCTCGCACCGGGCAGGGCAGGTGGGCAGGGCTG